CACACACACACACACACACACACACACACACACACACACACACACACACACACACTCAGCGGATCACGGTGACCGTACACCGGCAGGGTCACCGCGGGTCCAGAGCTCATCATGATGTCCTGAGTGCGTTTGAAGACTAGATATAGCTGGTATTTTATCACAATAAAACAAGGAAAACAATCCAGCAGAGAATCCCGTCCAGGTGAATCTCAAACCTCTGCACTCAAAACAAGCAGCTAAGCCTCCTATTGGCTGTCACGTAGCTCCGCCCACAGTGAAATGTCAATGGTCCCAAAACTCCACACAGCTAAACATGGTAACTTTATTTGTTTCAAGCAGTAGTTCACACCAGACAAAATTCAGTATAAATACTATTAATGAAGAGATAAAAGAGATAAGAAAATCCAATTACATATGAAAATATTGTTTTAAATAATATTAACAATATTACTAAAAAATAATATTAACAATACTATTTAAATAATATTGTATAAAAATATGAATATTATAATTAGTAAAAAAATTATAAATGATATACACACAGACAGACACAACTGTGACCCTGGAGCACAAAAGCAGTCTTAAGTCGCTGGGGTATATTTGTAGCAATAGCCAACAATATCAAACACACACACTCAAACACACACACTCAAACACTCACACACAGACACACAGACACACACACACACACACAGACACACACACTCTCACACACAGACACACATACACTCTCACACACAGACACAGACACAGACACGCACACGATGATGAGTCTGAGTCTCCATTATGGATCACATGCATTTACAATGGTAGCCAAATATAGCACATGTGCTCGTACCTGCGGCTCGGGGTTGCTGGGTCTCTGCTCCATGCTGTAGTACTTGCAGGGGTTCCACTGCACCAGCGGAGGATTCTGGGTCGGCTGCGGTCCGTTAGGGACACTGAGCTGCATTACCATGACACTAGGACCAGGAGGAGGAACCCCTATAACACATCCACATCAACGGGCCAGTCACTCCCAATACAAAGTAATCTAGACTGAGAGAGATGATACTAATGCAACCTACTGCTCAGGTTTATTGGGCTGATACTGCAGTTTAAAGTTTAAGGTTTCAATTTAATTTAAACTTTGTGCATGTCATTTTTAAGTTTTGCTTTTTTATATATTTAAAAAAACTATTTTTTTATATTTTTCTTATATTTATTTGTTTATATTTTTATCTTTATATTTTTATACTCTATTTAGCTTGAATTTATTTTTATTTAGTTTTACTTCAACTTCAACTTACATTTTCTAATGACTCTAATAAGTATGTTTTTCATCTAATACTTGTATTTTATTTTAAGCTTTATTTCAATTAATGAGAATGATACTGTTTTTATCTCAATTTCAGTTGTGGCGTGGCTGTATCTGTGTCTGCGGTGTACCTGAATACTGCTGTTGCATTGGCTGTGGGCTGCAGGGCGAGGCAGACTGGGTCATCTGGTACTGATCTGAACTGGGCGGCTGCAGGTAACCCACAGATGGACTGAAACAAGCACGCACACACACACACACACACACACACACACACACACACACACACACACACACGGATAAACAATTTAATGCAACTGAAAGGACATACTACGCAATAAAAAATATGGCATAAACAGAGAAAAAAATTTTTTTTTTTTTAAATATAAATAAAAATACATACATACATAAATAAATAAACAAAAAGAAATAAACAAAAAGAAATAAACAAAAAAAAATCATATTTTATATCTGAGGAACCCAACATAAATAAATACATTAATTAAAAATTTAAAATTAATAAAAATAAACAAATAAATAGATAAATAAAAATACATACATACAGAAATAAAGAAATAAAGAAAAAAAATCATATTTTATATCTGAGGAACCCATACTGATAATTTTGTTTTGTTCATTAAGTTTCTGTGTCAAGTTAGAGTTGCTACTCCGTTGCATACAGGAGTAAAACTGCACAATTTTTCCAGACATCTGACATTATAGACACGTGCAGTGCGTGCTGAGGTGTTAGCGTGTGTGTACCTTGTGCTGTTCTGCTCTCACACACACACACACACTCTCACTCTCATACACACACACACACTCACACACACACACTCACACACACACACGCTCTCACACACACACACCTGATAGGAGGGCATGGGTGGGTACTGGACCATCATGCCCGGCATCTGTCCGTTCATGGCCGTGCGCTGCGTGTTCATCATACTGGCGCTCTGAGGCTGCTGGACTCCCATCATGCTCTGGTACGCAGGCTGCTGATTGGTCATCATGGGCTGGAGAGGAGCTGATCACGCAAGACAAAAGCACATCAAACTTCAACCGCTCATCGTCAGGGAGCCGTTCAGAGCTTTAATAGTCAGTTTAATACGAGACATCAATATAAGAGAGCATAAAAATGACAGGAGTCAGTAGAGACAGAGGCACGGAAACACATTTCCTCCACAGGAGAAAGAAAAATCATGCTTTGATAAATCAAAATAATGACGCAATTTCACAAAGTCAAAGTTAAGACAAAAAATAACATGTCGTAATTTTGACTTATCTCATAATTATGACTTTATAATTTCTTAATTTTAATATTCCATTAATATTTTATATGTAAAACATCATGTTATAATTCATAATTATTAAAATATTATTACAATTATTGAACATTAGAATATTATATTTTATCATTTATTTAAATGTTGACGTTTTATTTTGATTTGTCAATTTTGACTTTTCATAATTATGACTTAAGAAGTCATAATTTCATCTTATCTCATTATGACTTATGTAAATTTTGACTTTGTATCTTTTAATTAGGGGTAGGCGATATGGCAAAAATATCATATCACGATATTTTTCATGGGATTTTATCACGATTCTTTATCAGGTTGGTTTTATTATTTTGTAGGTTGTCTGAGCAGCACAGCCAAACTAATTTCCCTATTTTAAAAACAAAGCCTTACAAGGTAACAAAATATAAAATTAAAAAAGATATTCAGGCCAAAGTGGGCGAAGAAAAAAAATCTGTAATTTTTTTTATCTTTGTTATTAAAAAATAAGAACAAAGATACACATAATATACAAATAAAACAAACAGGTACAGTCGGTGTATTTATCAGCAGCATTCAAGAAACTGAATGAACAAATATAAAAATAAACACTATATACACTTCACTGTATAAATTATACATTGATTCTTATTAAAGCAACTGTATTAAAGTTCTTCAGTCAAGAGCAGTGAGTGATTTTTCTCTGTGTTTCGTTGTTTTATTAACATTAAAAGGGATAGTTCACCCAAAAATGAAAACTCTTGTCATCATTTACTCACTCTCAAGCTGTTTAAACCTGAATGAGTTTCTTTCTTCTGTTGAACATTAAAGTTATTTTGAAGAATGTGGCTACAAACAGCTGCTGGTCTCCAGTGACTTCCATAGTATTTTTTTTTCCTACTATCAAAGTCAATGGGGACCAGCAGCTGTTTGTACCCACATTCTTCAAAATATCTTCTTTTGTGTTCAGCACAAGACAGAAATTAATACAGGTTTGGGACAACATGAGAGTGAGTAAATAATGACAGAATTTAAATTTTTGGGTGAACTCTCCCTTTAATGACAAGCGGCAGCATTGGGACACGTATTTAATATACAGCACGCATCAGTTCTTCTCTCAACTGTTTACTTTCACTTCAGACATAACCAACTGTGTTTATATGTAAATCTCATGTGCTTTTGACAGTATTAGCGCAGTACTAGCGCAGTATTAGCGCGAAAAAGATAACTTAGTCCAGTAATCAGGTGCTATTTGACAGGATTTTTAGTGTGTACGCGCTCAGAAAAAGCGCATGTCAGAACAAAATGTTCGAATTAAATGTTTAACCGGCAAGATTTTAAAGCACATGCAAATAACGTACTTTTGTGATTGTGAGTAAGTGCAGTGTCCCGTGAGTGTGACTCTACTGCTGAGTAACATTTGATGTGAATGTATGTGGCGTTGTACAGTATATCGAGATGGAGGCGCCAGAACTGCAACTGAATGAATGTGTGCTGTAGCGCGATACTATGATATTTACGATAAAGCAGATCGTGGAGATATTTTAATCATCCACAATCAAAAATCGTCATATCGTACACCCATACTTTTAATTATGACATTATATTTCATAATCATTACATTTTAGACTCACAATTATGACTTTTCCCCATAATGACCATCTTATAATTATTATTTTTATTTTTTTAAATTTATAGTTACATTTTATAAATTTTATTTTGTCATAATTTGGACTTTTTCCATAATTATGATTCACTGTCATGATTTTGTCTTTTCCCCATAATGACTTTTTAATCATTTAATAATTTCTATTTTATTAATTTTATTCATATTTTATATTTAACTTTTTAATTTTGACTGTCATAATTCTGACTTTTCAGTGTCTTTTTGACTGTCAAATTTTGACTGTCAACGACCTTTGACGACCTTTTCTCTTATAATTATGACATTGTCATATTTTTGACTTCTCTTCACATGATTTTTTTCTTATGTGGCAGAGATGGACTTGGGCATCTCATCTGATGAGTTCTGCTCCAAAAGCAGGATAATATGATGCTGTCTAGCAGCAGAGGAACAGGAAGTGATGTCACACTGACCGGAGGGCTGCGCCGGCGGGGGCAGCGGCTGAGAGCGCTGTGCGGGATACGACACCTGGTGAGAGATGGAGCGGTACTGCTGGCCTGAATTCGGATACTGTCCTCCGGTGGAATAATACTGAACCTGGATCTGAGACGAGAGAGAGAGAGAGAAAGTCTGATGACGACAACACATACTGCATATCATTACCTCTGATACCACACACACTCTCTCACACACCTGCTCTTATCATTCGATCGTGGTTGTATTTCTCTATTAGTGCTACTGGATCTTAGTGCTGTGTTTGACACTATCGACCACAACATCCTTTTGAGTAGACTACAAAATTATGTTGGCATTAGTGGAATTGCATTGTCATGGTTCAAATCTTACTTATCTGACCGCCATCAATTCGTAGCAGTGAATGATGAGGTATCATATCGATCACAAGTACAGTATGGAGTGCCACAAGGCTCAGTACTAGGACCATTGCTTTTCACACTTTACATGTTACCCTTGGGAGATATCATCAAGAAACATGGTGTTAGCTTTCACTGTTATGCTGATGATACTCAGTTCTATATTTCTTTGCGGCCTGATAAAAACCTACAAATTTGCTAAAACTAACGGAATGCACAGTTGATATAAAAAACTGGATGACTAGTAATTTCCTACTGCTAAATTCTGAAAAAACTGAGGTTTTAATTATTGGACCAAAAACCTCCGCAT